ACACACACACACACACACACACACACACACACAATGTAAAAAGTACTGAGGATAAGAACCATATCCAAGGTCACATAACAGAGCTAGGTTGTAGACTCCTAAATGGAATGTATCCTTATATTGGGTTTTGGAGGATGCACAGACAGCTCTTATTATTCTTATTTTTATGTCAACCATAATATAACAACCCCCCCCCCACACACACACAAGACAGGGTTTCTGTGTGTAACAAGTCCTGACTGTCCTTGAACTCACTTTGTAGACCAGGGTGGCCTCGAACTCAGAGATCCATCTGCCTCTGCCTTCTGAGTGCTGGGATTAAAGGTGTGCACTACCACTGCCCAGACAATGTAACAATTTTTCATCCTTGATTTTTTTAATTACCTTTTCAAAATTCTGAAATTCTTTGAATTCTTTAACAAGTTAAAGTGGGTTTAAAAAGTAAATGCTTTAATTACATTGTGTGTGTGTGAGAGAGAGAGAGAGAGAGAGAAAGAGAGAGAGAGAGAGAGAGAGACTCTAAGTGGAAGCCAGAAGGCAGCCTTGTGGAGGAGTTGGCTCTCTGTTCACCGTGTGGGACAGTAGCGATGGACTTAGTCATTACACTTAGTGGCAGGCTGAGCCATCTTGCTGGCCCAACTTTTATTTTTTAAATAATACCCATAAAGTGAATGTAGATTTTTGTCGTTGCTTTAGAATCTCAGCTATTGGTTGGGAGTCACATACACCATCTAGGGATGCTGCTTTCCTGTTAAAAACATTTGAAGTTGATTGAAAATTAATCTTTGAGCCAGATATGCCTAAGCCTTAGTGACAAGTAATGGAACCTTCCTACTTTGTTCTCTTCCGTTTCATTCCTAGTAGTTGGGATTTAGAATGAAGATTTGCACGGACATCCAAATCTATCAGGCACAAAAGTTAATGCAAATATTTTTTTCTTACCATAAAAGCAGGGAGGGTTAAGTTCTGAAATTTTGTATGTGGCTACTATACTAAGAAAACATGAACATATTTTCATGTCATTAAGTAGTCCCTAAAAACTTCTTCAGAGCTGGATGTGGTGGCGCACGCTTTAATTCCAGCATTTGGAAGGCAGAGACAGATGGATCCTCCCAAGTTTGAGACCAGCCGGGTCTACAAAGTGAGTTCCAGAACAGCCAGGGCACTTATGCAGAGAAACCCTGTCTCAAGAAAAGAAAGAAAAAACCTTCAGGTTCTGGAGGGCTGGTTCGGAGGTTCAGAGCATCTAATGCTCTTCCAGAGGACTGGAGTTAACTCAACTGCTTGTAACTCCAACTCCAGGGATCTGACACCTCATCTCCTTGGCACCTGCACTCGTGTGCATATGCCCAAACATACTCAACATTTTAAAAAATCTAAGATTACACACCTTTCTGTTTCATGAACATGATGCAGATTTTTTCTAGATAACATTCAAAATCCCTCTAATATAAAAACATGAACATTGACATGATTGTTCTCATATCTTTTTTCTTTTTCCTCTAGCCTTCCCTTTTCCCCCTTTGTAAGTCCAAGAGATTGAACCCAGGGCCCCAGAGCTAACTATTCCTTGTTCTTGCCTTTATCTTTATTTCTAATTGGGTGTGTTTTCCTATTTGTTTTTGGAAGCAGGGTTTCTCTGTGTAATAGAGCCCTGGCTGACCTGGAACACAGAAATTCACCTGCCTTTGCCTCCCAAGTACTGGTATTAAAGGCATGCGCCACCATGCCTGACTCTGATTGTTCTTTTAATATTGGTTCTAGAAAGTAAGAATGTGTGTTACAAGTTAACATTCAGTTTAAGAGACATCTTTTCCAAAGTTGTTTCTCTTCCTGTGTTGAGGAGTTCTTAAGACTCAGAGGCTATTTGTCTGTCAGCTAATGGGAAATTGTGTCATCCTAGCTAGCCTTCCCTTCTGAGCTGTTACCTGCTGTGACTGTGGTAATACAATTCTATAGGAGTGGGGATGTGTCTTACCAAAAGCAGGTGGGGTCCTGGGCTAAACTATCTGCTATGCTTGCCTTCTTCAAGGTGGCTCAGCCGATCAGGGCACTGGCCACACAGCGTGAAACCATAGTTTTGTCCCCAGAACTCACCTGGTAGAAGGAGAGAACCAACTCCTGCAAGTTGCACAAACTTCTGCATGGGTACCGTGGTATAGCTGCGTTCCCTCCAGACACACAAGTGATGGTAGTGTGTTACAGTTTCCTCTGAACTGCTCCATCACACACTGCACTAATTTACTTTACTAGTTCTCTTCTACCAGACTTTAATGACCCATTGAGTTTAGAAATGAAATGAGGAAACAGGTCTACAAAGAGTAACTTTGTCTCAACAGCTTATTTCTGTTTATCTCACCCTATTTTCCCCTTCCTTTCCCCCTGCAACACAGTGTTTCTCTGTGGAGTCCTGGCTGTCCTGGAACTCACTTTGTAGATCAGGCTGGCCTTGAGCTCACAGAGTCTCCTCATTTCTAGCCTATTTTGTTTCCGTTTTACCTTGACTGTTAAGGAGTCCCCAGAACTATACGATCATACTCTTAGATTCATGAAAATAGGACAGTGAGTCTTTAATTCATTTTAGAATCCTTGCTTGTCTTTCCTCCCGGGGTCATTTCTCTGCAGTAGAGGCTTTGAGTACTCCACTGGCACCAGAGTTCATGCTGTTCTGCGAAGTGAATTCTCTCTCTCTCTCTCTCTCTCTCTCTCTCTTTCTCTCTTTCTCTCTTTCTTTCTTTTTTTAGTGGTAAGTTTTCTTACAGACATGTTAGACCTTAAATAAGTTCTGTCTCTTTAGTGTCTTCATCTCTAGAAGAAACAGATAATGTGTGTGTATGTGTGTGTGTGTGAGAGAGAGAGAGAGAGAGAGAGATTTGTCTTTAGTACTTTGCTATTGTATTATTATACTGAGAAGTTTATTTTTTGTTTTTTGTGTTTTGGTTTTTTGGGACAGGGTTTCTTTGTGGCTTTAGAGCCTGTCCAGGAACTCACTCTGTAGACCAGGCTGACCTTGAACTCACAGAGATCTGCCTGTCTCTGCTTCCCAAGTGCTGGGGTTAAGGGTATGTACCACCACCACCCCGCTGAGAAAATCAGATTTAAGTATTACTGACAGCACAGTTGAGAATATTTAGGAAAACAAGTAATACTGAATTCTCAATATCCGCCCAGATACATATATAAATTTTAATTGTTAAAATATGAAGTTATTATAGCTTTCAAAAGAACCTAGTGAGCATTATTTAAGTAAAATTTAAATTAATAGAGTGTGATTACTTGGAGAATCATGATGGCCTTATTAGTGACCCCTGCAACCTGAGCGTCAGGCACCAGGTCTCGGCAGTGACTGAGACAGCTGAAGCCTCGGCCAGGGCCTTGATTTCTCACACGAATGAGAGCTCTGGTGCCTTTGCAGCCTGGTGAAGTGAGACCTGACCGTGAGGAACAGCATGAGAGCCGTGCTAGCTCCTGGCAGGCACCATGACTTAGGACCATCCTGCATGCTGGACAGCACCAAGACAAGGTGGGAAGTGATAGATGGCGGAGTGATGGGAGAGGAAGAAGTGGGCAAGTAGGTGGTGGAGGCACAAAAGATGAGCGCTGTGCCCTGTCTGTGAGATGCACAGGAAGCGTGGAAGGCAGCTGTTGTTCTTGCTCCTTGGGAAAAGGTAAAATACACAGCTCATCAAGAGAGTCAGCGACAGACACAAGCGCTAGTCGGCCTGCGAGTTTTCCCTTGAGAAAATCGGCCACCATATGAGTCACCTTGACTCCCAGAACCATGTCTTAGCCCAGGAGGAAGAGAAGTGCCTGCAGAATGGAGACCCACAACCGACTGGACGTGCCCTGCTGGGTTTACTTCTCATCATTGGTTGTGGTGGTTCAGCTATGAAACTGGACAACTCTATATTGAATTACAGTTTTGCCATGCTGTGTCTAACGTTGGCCAGAGATTTATTTCCTTTGGAAGCTTTGGGTTGGACAAACACTGAAGACACACATGCAGAGTAGGCAGGAACACATCTAGAGACCCCACCTAACACGTGGCTTGCCTGTGACACAGCCGCTACTGTGTACAAATATGGGGTGGAAAGATGGGAAAGAGAAGCGGAACGGTCAGCACTGTAAAGAGAGGCAGGTCTGCAGATGCGAGGGTGGAGAGGAGCAGCCTGATTGAGCAGCCTGTGAAGCCACCCAAGGCCGTGAAGAATTCCTGGCCCATGCTGCCACAGAGGAACAGATTGCCAAGAGGCGAAGGCTGTCTTCACTGAGAGCTTCTAAGTCTGAGTTCAGTCAAAAATTAATCTATAAGGGTAACAAATAAATGATCAGACCTTGAAAAAAAGGGGGGGGAGGGGATGATAAAAAATGAATCTGATTATAATTTTGAGAAAATAATAAGATATAGTAATGACTTTTTCAAAGATCTGACATTTACCCTTTCTTATGCATATCAATCTTTGAACAGCCCTATAAGACAGATGGTGATACTGATGAAAATACTGTGTCAGAGAAGTTAAAGTACTGACGTTAGGTCATGTAGCCTTTACCTTGACAGAGCTAGCTTGTAAACATTCTGTTTTTCCTCATTCTTAGTACTTGTAAGGTTTGCATATTGACTGGGTACAAAGTCAAGTAGTTTTTAGCACTGGAGAGAAAGGTGTGAAGGGTGTGGTAAGTAATTAGGCCTGCCTGGGGGTTTGAATGGTAGAGGTGCTGTATTTAAGTCTAGGGAATCAAGTGGGCATAGATGTTCTTGTTTAAAAGAAACAAGTGTAACTTTAAGTTTATTGAATCTCTTTTCTTTTTGTTTTCAGGTGGATGTGTATACTCCTATTTTAAAAAAATGAGTTTAACTAGTGATGTATTAAGAGTTGAAACCTGGCTTTTGGCAACATGGCATGTTAAAGTGCCTCTAATGTGGCTGGAAGCTTGTGTTAACTGGATCCAAGAAGAAAATAATAATGTTAATTTGAGCCAAGCACAAATAAATAAACAGGTGTTGGAACAATGGCTTCTTACTGACCTGAGAGACTTGGATTATCCTCTATTACCTGATAACATTTTAGAACTTCCAAAGGGAGAACTGAATGGATTTTATGCTCTACAGATCAATTCTTTGGTTGACGTAAGTCAGCCCGCATATTCCCAGATACAAAAGCTGAGAGGAAAGAATACAACCAATGATCTAGTTTCAGCTGAAACACAGATTACTCCAAAACCATGGGAAGCAAGGCCTTCCCGGATGCTGATGCTGCAGCTCACGGATGGTGTTACTCAAATTCAAGGGATGGAGTATCAGTCTATTCCAGCTCTCCATGGTGGTCTTCCTCCAGGTACAAAAATTTTGGTTCATGGACGCATTTCATTCCGTCTTGGTGTTCTCTTGTTGAAACCAGAAAACGTGAAGGTGTTAGGGGGTGAGGTAGATGGTCTTTCAGAAGAATATGCTCAAGAAAAAATACTTGCAAGATTAATTGGTGAACTTGATCCTACAGTTTCAGTCGGACCAAGTAATTCTGATCACAATGTGCCCAGAGTTTCAGGGGGGCTGGATGCTGTCTCAGGACCTTCGGATGAAGAACTCTTGGCAAGTCTCTATGAAAGTGAAGAGCCTGCAGCAAGCAATGGTACATCACCCACGGAAGGAAGCTGTTTCAGCACAGGCAGCTCCTCAACTACCACTCCTACAATTCAGTCTAGTTTTGAGCCCAGATGTAATATTTCTTCAAAGCACAAGGAGAAGCCAAACCAATCTGTGCATTTCACTAGTGGAGAGTTTGATGACTTCTCACTGGAAGAGGCCTTGCTTTTAGAGGAAACTGTCCAGAAAGAACAGATGGAAACAAAAGCATTACAACCATTAACTTTGAAGAAAAACACAGATAAATGTGTAGAGATATTTTCACATAAACCTAATACTCTGAACCACACTTCTTTGATTAATAAACAAGGAAACAGCAATTACAATGAAAAAAAATTATATGAACAAATAGTTTACAAAGACAAATTTTTTAGCTGTCCATCTGCAAGAGACCATCATAAGAGACTCTTAACCCAGGATTTTACAGATGACAGTAAGACTTTGGAAGTCAGTAATACAACTGAGCCAAACATTGACAGTTCAGATGAACATTGCTCCAGTAATAAAATGTTAAACAGAAAACTAGGAACCGGTCTATCAGAAAAGAGTTCAAAGGTTTCTAATGAAAATAGCTCCCCTTTACAGGCTTCTTCTTTAAGATCAGTTGAGAATAATACTGATCTCTCTATTGACATGGACTTACATTCTCCGCCCTTTATCTATTTGTCTGTTCTAATGGCCAGGAAGCCAAAAGAAGTCACCACTGTGACAGTCAAAGCATTTATTGTCACTTTGACTGGGAATCTCTCAAGCTCCGGTGGCTGCTGGTGTGTGACTGCAAAGGTTTCTGATGGTACTGCCTATCTAGATGTGGACTTTGTAGATGAAATACTTACCAGTATGATAGGTTTTTCAGTACCAGAAATGAAGCAATTAAAAAAAGACCCTCTTAAATATCAAAACTTCCTAAAAGGGTTACAAAAATGTCAGCGAGATCTGATTGATTTGTGTTGCCTAATGACTATTTTATTTGATCCTTCTTCACATAAAGCCTTGGTACTTGAATTACAAGATGTTGGTGTGGAACACCTTGAGAACCTAAAGAAGCGGCTGAATAAATAATTTGACAAAATACTATTAGAGTACACTTTAAAACATGCAAATATTCGTATTGTTTTTGGAACTCTGTAAAGGAAGGAAAAAGCTTTTGAGCTTAAAAATGGGTGAGATGGCTGAGTGGCTAAACAGGCTTTCTGCCAAGTCTGAGGACCTGAGTTTGATCCTTTGGTCCCTTGTGGCTGAAGGAGAGAAACAACTCCCAAAATCTGCTGTCTGTCCTTTACACATGCAGCATGGAACTCATGCACACATAAACACACACACATACACTGAAGACATTTAAAAATAAAGATATTTAATCAAAATGCACATAAAGGGTATTTTTGTTTGGTTTGGTGATGATGGGCCAGGACCTTGTAATGCAAGCAAGCCTCTATCATGAAACTCATCTCTAGACCCCTATCCTCCCCTTTCCTGGAAAGGGTCTATATTCCCAGGCTAGCCTCAAACTCTCTTGTACAGCTAAGAGTGATCTTGAGCTTCTGTTCTTTGTCTCCATCTCCCAAATGCCTGGATTAGGGTTCTTCAGTTTCAGTTGGTGCACTAGTTTAAAACCATGACTGTGTGTGCTAGGCCAATGCTCTACTGACTGAGCTAATCCCCAGTCACCCATGTTGAAGAACTTTGATGAATCATTCTTGCTGAGAAACTGGCTTTCTACTTGTTGAATATGAGATAACGGGTAAAGAACTGTGTTGGGCTGACAAAGTGGCTTGGTGGTGAAGGGTATTCCTGCTGAGCCTAATGACCCGATTCTTCTCTTGCTCCTACATGGTGAAAGAACTGTCTCCCACAAGATGTCCTCTGATTTTCACATGCGCCCCACTCCTACGCATAAGGAAATGTAATATGAGGATGTTCCCCAATGAGATACATTTTGGAAGTTGGAAATTGTAAAAGTAGTTTTCCCCTAATATTTCAAAGGTTTGTGCTGTTATTTAGGAGTCTTTATATTTACCGTCTGTGCATGGTTCAGAGGACAACCTGTGAGGGCTGCTTTTCTCATGCCATGCAGATCGTAGAAACAGTCATCAGGCTTGGCAGCAGCTACTCTCTTGCTAGACCATACGACTGCCCTATAGTTTTTGAGATGGCATCTCACTGTGCACCCCAGGGTAGTCTCAAATTCATGAGGCTTCTCATCCTCTGAACTAGCTGTGCATATAAGTTGTTTCATTTTGTTATGACCGTTTGAAAAAGACCACACTCTTTCACTTTGCTATTACAAGATTGTGTTTGGGAGGTGAGGTTATTTTAATCTTTTCTCTTAAAATTATAAATGGGGTGCTGGAGAGATTTTTTAGTGGTTAAAAACTGACTGCTGCCCTTCTAGAGAACCCAAGTTTGGGTCCCAAGATGGGCTGCTGACCTAGTTGTGGGGGCCAGCCATGATAAGCTAAGTATGGGCAGGTCACCCAAAGGAAGTTCTTTACTTAAAACCATTATCACCTGCCAGAGTAGAACTCTGGCCATCAATAAATTTAAGTGGAGGCCTGAGTCTCAGTTTACCCTGAGGCAATGCCTTGTTGTAGGAGGAACCACAAGCTGAGATTACCCAACCTCCACCCAAGAACAGACCATTCAAAGGAAATGCCTACCATTCCAACCGCCTTAGATGGGATACCTGCCAGCATACCTCACCAGGACACGCCTAGACAAATGTCAGCCAATCAGGTTTCCTAAACCTCAGAAACCCCTCACCCCCACCTTTACTACTATAAAACCCCAATTCTAACTGAGCTCAGGACTCTCTGTTTATTCCAATACATTGGATGTGCGGAGAGACTGAGTTTGCAAACTTGATTAAAATAAAGGTTCTTTGCTTTTACATATGGGACTCAGTCTCCTTGTTGGCTTTTGAGGGGATTTGGCAGATTTGGGCATAACACAAGCAATCCCGTCTCCAGGGGATCTGACACCGTCTTCTGGCTTTCCCAGGTGTGGCTGTGTGCACAGTAGGTACGCACACATAATTAAAGAACTTTTGAGACAATTTCTCTGTGTAGTCCTGGCTGTCCTAGAACTTGGTATGTAAACTAGGCTGGCCTCAAACTTGAAGATTCACCTGCCTCTGGGATTAAAGGTGTGTGCCACCGTGCTTGGTTTCGTAATTGAGAAAAACGAGGTAAGAGGATCAAGGATCAAAAGTTGGTCATTCTTGGCTACATAGAGGCCTGCTTGGACCACATGAGACTTATCTTACAAAAAAATTGAATAAAAAGATGTAAAAATGTTTTTCATTGAAAAACAGTTCAAAGCACAAGAATATAAATAATTTGTGATATTTCATTTGTATTTTAATAAATAAAGCTTGCCTGGGGATCAGAGAGTAAAACAGTTGCCCTGGTCAGCCTTACAGACCAGGCCACAATAACATACACCTTTAATCCCAGTAGCCACACTAGTTTACTTTACGAACCAGGCAGTAGTGGTACACGCCTTAAAGCCCAGCTCTAGAGAGGATTATAAAATGGGAAGAGACAGGTCTCACAGTCTCATTCTGAGATTCCTGGAGGCAGGATCACCATTTCATACTGAGGTAGAGGTAAGAACCAGTGGCTGGCTGTTTTGCTTTCCTGACCTTCAGATTGAACCCCATTATCTGTCTTTGGGTTTTCATTAATCATGCCACTGTATTTTTAACACGTCTTCCATGTGTTTAGGTGCATACAGAGGCCTGAGAAGGGCATCAAATCACCTGGAGCTGGAGTTGTAGGTGTCTGTGGGTGCTTGGAACTGAATTTAGGTCCTCTGGAAGAGTAGCAAGTACTCTTAACCACTGAGCCTTCTCTCCAGTTCCAAGAATACAGATACAGATACTGTTGATACATACTCACATAGTACTCCTCTGTAGACTTATCCTTATGAGATCTAAGTTGTGTGTGTGTGTGTGTGTGTGTGCGTGTGTGTGACATTTTCTTTTAAATAACTGTGGATTGTTATGGCTATTCTTGGTTGTCAAATTGAACCACAATCCAAAATGGTGAGCGACTGCTTTTGCTTAGTTTGAAGTGGGTGAATCCCCTTCTAGTCTGGTAGGAAGATTTAGACCTTTGATCCAGATTTTGAGATGGGAAGACATGCCTTTAATCTGGGCCACACCTTCTGCTACAAGTCTATATAAGGACATGGAAGAAGGAAGCCTTTGCTTTTTGTTGGTTTGCCCTTGCCTTGTTAACATCCATTTCTTCACTGGCATTGGAGCCTACTTCTTTGGAATTCCAGCCTATACCGAAGGCCAGCCAAAACATTCAGCTTTATGGACCGATCAACTACTGGAGTTTTGGACTTGTTCACAGCAAGCCATTGTTGGATTTTCTGGAGTACAGCCTGTAAATCATTCAATAAGCCTCCTTTCTATAGAGAGAAACATTCTGTGAGTTCTGTTACTCTAGACAACCCTGAACAATACATGGATGGTGCATAAAAATATATTAGCTCTTCATATTGCATCACTGAATAGAAGTACGAGTCCATTGTTCTATATTCATTTCTGATGTTTGAATTGGGGCTCTTTAGAGGATCAGAACCAATAGAATGAATATACATTACACAAAGAATTTATGCAATTGGATTAAACCATGTTGGCAGGGTAGTCCATCAGTGATCATCTGCATACAAGGGAGAATGGGTGCCAGAATCAGTCTGGCTTGAAGAGGCTTGATGCCCCAGCTGTCCCTGTCTGATGTTAAAAACCTGAAGAATTCCTGGAGAGCTTAATAGCTCTCTTGTTTTGGAAGGTCACAAAAGATGGATTCCTATGTCCTGCATGGGTGGCAGGAGCCTCGGAATGCTTTCTATCTGGGGGAGGGGCTTCCCTCAGTCCTTCCAGGAAATATCATTACAAACCCACCCAGAGGTGTGTCCTTTATTTGCTTCTAGACCCAGTCACTTGGCAAACAAGATTACTGTGATTTGGTTTCCAATCTAATCTGGTTTGGATTGTGTTTAGTGGCTTATTAGTTGGTCTATATTTTGTTGTCAAACCATTCTTTGTAGGGTTGCAAGAGTGCTCTTTTTTTCCTTTCTGAGACAGTCTCTCTGTGTAGCCCTGGCTGTCCTGGAACTCACTTTATAGATCAGGTTGGCCTCAAATTTGCAAAGATTTGCCTGCCTTTGTCTCCCAAGTGCTGGAATCAAAGGTGTGTGCCCCCGACACTCAACTAATCTCTTTTATTAATTAATTTTTTTCTTATATTTGACTATATTTTTCTGCCTCCAAGTCCTCAGGTCCTACCCACCTCCATACCTATCCAACTTCTCTCCAAAAAGATAAAAGAAACGTACACACCAACACCAAACAAATGTAAAAAATACCCATGGTGTCTATTTCATGTTGGCCAACAATTTCCGGGCATAGAGCCTACCCTGCAGTGTGTTTGATGCTCAGTTGGAGAAAACAGAGTTCCCTTTCCCAGCAGGTATCAATTGTAAATAGCTCCTTGGCTAGAGATGGGACTTTGTGTCTACTTTCCCTTCCTTGTGCTGAGATTGTGCCCTGTTTGAACCCATGCACGTCTTGTGTGTGCTGCTACAGTCTTCAGTGAGTTCATACATGATCAGCTCTGCTGTGTCTGGAAGACGGTTTCTTGGTTGCCACTTGGTTACAATCTTTCTAATTTTCTCCTTGTTTTCTCCTCCTTCACCTTTAATATCAGTCTCTTACTATCCTCTTAAATACAAGGTAAAGCCCGAACTCCTTATCCAATTTGTGATCTAGTCGGACTTCCTTTTTTTGTCTCAACTTACCCCTTTCTTCCCGCCTCGAGTTTTGCCCCATAGTTGGTAATTGTCCAAATCTGTACAGGTATGCACCTCCCACTTCGGTGTGTCTGCTCTCAGTACTCACATTCCCTATCCCCCCACCCCCCGTATTTCCAGCTCAGCTGAGCACTAGATGCCAATCTAAATGTTTCCTGAGCTACACACTAGGCTTCTATGCCTTTTGAGCATCTTTCAGACTGGTTCAGCCGTTTCACTAACTTACTTGTTTCTCTGTCACTGCACTGCTAGATGTGTTCCCAGGGTAACTTGCTATCATGTGCACAGTAGGCTGTTAGGAGCATCTCTGGTCTGCACACACCATGCCAATAACATCCTTCTAGTTGTGGCATTGCTAAGTATGTCCTAGGGAAAATATCCCCATTTAAGTGCTGTTACTCGCTGGGACCTAAGCTGCTTGAGCTGTGGGGCTGAGCAATTGGCCTGTGTAAATGCACTGTGGTTTCATCTGACCAACAGTCTACAACCGGCTCAATACCTGTCTTAGTTACTTTTCTTGGTACTGTGATAAAATACACTGACCAAAA